GAAAAGAAAGAAAAAATACAGTATATTGCAGAATGTCTTTCTGTCTGTATATTTATATTTTGGGGCACCATCCTTTATTGCATTGTGAAGCTCAGATGTTTCAGCAGTGTCTCTTCATTTCACAATAAAGAGGTCTGAGAATTATAACTTACCAGCTGAGTAACAGGAATTATTGGGTAGTGTTTCAGGCATGTTTTGAATGCATCGGAACAAAGTCACCAGACTCAATTCGTCCCCAAAGACATGCACTTTTTTCCTCTGTATTAGGTGTCCCATGGCAAAGGTGTTATCGGTGTATAAAACCTGAGAAACAAAGAAGAGAACTTTGTCAGAAGCGAGCATAGAATAAGAGGATGCAGATGGTGAAAGCAGAAGAGTCGGGACCTACCTGACCATATATAAAGAAGTAGCCAGTTTCTTTGACCAATATTTTATTCTCTTTCTCTTCTAGGGCTCTTCCTCTTTTAAAGCTGAGAAGCCACGGAACAAAGGTGTAAGATCCTACAACAAAGAGAATTATTTGTAAGGGAAAACAGCAACAACAACAACAAAAATAAACAATTTTCAAGTGCACGTAGGTGCTAAACCAAATCTGAAACGGAGAAGAGAATTTCATCTTAAAAAAGAAAAAGATAAAAAGGGAAATCACTGTATTCCACTGGAGTCTCCACCGTCACTGTATATTAACCCAGGAACTATGGGATCCAGGAACATAAGAGCAAACACTTCATATGAATGTCGGGGTTTACTTTTATTGTTCTGTATTTCAGCTATTTTATAATAAAAGCTGGTCTGGATGAGAGAGTTTGAAGCACAGAATGAACAGAATTTCCCCGAATACCACACTGATGCAGATTTTTCTTTGGTTCCCAGACAGGTGGGAGTAAGTGGGTGAAGAGTTTAGCAAAAGGTACCAGAAGGAAGGGACACCCCCACCCCGCAACAACACGGCAACAGAACAGAGCCTCAGAAAGGAGGAGGAAAGGTAGAGACATGACCTTTACTAGGAAACAGTCAGGGCACTTTGTAACGATGGCCTGTGACATTCGAGTGTAAGTGGTCTCTGTTCAGTACACTGATAATCGTCCTTCAGAAGTCACTTGGGGAGTGATAGGGAAGCCACTGTGCTCAAGGGTGGGATGAAAAGGCAGAGAGAAAAGAGCAGCAGCAGAGTGTGGGGGCAGCAGGGGACCAAAGCCCTGAGCCAGGGTCAAGTCTGGGTGCTTTGTGATGTCAAAACCCACTGAGAGAGTGTAAACACTCCTTTCCAAGAGAATTCACACTGGGTGTCTCACAGTTATGTAAATACTCGAGTAAAGCATGCGCCCTAAGGCTAGAGACTGGGAAACGTGGAGGGTGTAAGTACAACGATGTAAAATAAGTGAATAGAAGATTAGGAAATGGTAATATAAGGATAGGATAGAAACATGGACCTGTGGTAGTCTACAATCATGAAAAAGGTTCCTACTTGGTTATGGCGGGCCACATGGGTCTCCAAATTTCACCTCGGTCATAGCAAAAAGAGTAACAGAATGGATAATAAAATTCAGAGTCTGCAAAAGATAGTATGACCGAAGCGCAGGGGAAGGGGGAAAAAAAACAACTTTTCCAAGAATTGAGATTGAAGAAAACTTTCTTCCTCTCCAGATTTTCATTAAGGGCACAGTATAATGTGGTAGCTGACAACATTTTTGTACTCCGTAAACAAAACTGCTAAGTGTATGTGCATACTTTATATACTGTGTACAGGCAAACCAATCATCTTTGAACTTTTTCTAAATAAGATTCTTTTTTTAATTTTATTTTTTAATTGACAGATGAAATTGTATATATTTATGGTGTACAACATGATGTTTTGAAATATATACAGATTGTGTAATGGCCAAGTCGAGGTAATTAACATACACATTAGCTCACTTAGTTGTTGTTTTGTGGTGAGTACACTTAAAATCTACTTTCTTAGCATTATTCAAGAATGCAATATATTGTTATTAACTAGAGTCACCATGATGTGCAATAGATCTCTTAAACATATTCTCCCTAAGAAACTTTGTGTCTTTTGACCAACATCTCCCCAAGCTCTCCCCCCACCACTGCCCTAGCTTCTGGTAACCACAGATCTACTTTCTGTTTCCAAGAATTTGACTTTTTTAGCTTCCACACATGAGTGAGATCATGCGGTCTTTGTCTTTCTGTGCCTGGCTTATTTCACTTCACACAGTTTCATCCATGTGGCTGCAAATGACAGGATTTCATTCTTTTTTTCGTGGTTAAACAGTATTTCATTGTGTATACATACCACACTTTTTTCAATCCTTTGCTGATGAAGACTTAGGATGATTCCATGCGTTAGTTATTGTGAATAGTGATGCAATAAACATGGGAGTGCAGATATTTCTTTGACATACTGATTTCATATCCTTTGGATATATATATACCCTTTACTGACATTGCTGGATCATGTGGTAGTTCTATTTTTAATTTTTTGAGGAAACTCCATACTGTTTTCTGTAATGGCTTGTACTGATGTACATTTCCAGACCAAATGAGATTCTTGATTCTTGAAAGAAGAATATAGAACAAGAACCATGTATTTTTCTTGATATTTCCAAGGAGTTAAGAACTCTAAGTGATAAAGCAAATTACACTGTGAATTCAAGTTAAAATGTACAATAATCCTTTAAGGCAGCCCTTTAAGTTCACAGTGCCATAGACAGAGGTAGGAGAGATGCCAGAGAGTGTCGGAAGGAAGAGGGAGGGAGGCAGGAGGGAGAGGGATGCTGGAGGGTGGAAGAGCGGTGCAGGTGCAGGTGCAGGTGCAGGTCTACGCTTGTCTGTGCCTCCTGCTCCAGGAACTGCCTCCTCCAGTGTTTCTCACTGAGAGTGAGTGTGTCCCTAATATGGGGCAGGTGGGGT